TAGTTGATTTTATCAGATAGTTTATTAGCAATTATCAAATGCTTATGTATAATTTTCTAACCCATTGTACGAATAATTATGTATTCTTGAACAATTAATAAATTATTATTATTATTTATACTAAAAAAAAAAAAAAAAAAAAAAAAAAAAAATTAACTTGATTAATTTTCATCAGTTTAAGTTTTAAATTTTACTTAATTAAAAAATTTTCTTTTAGATTAAATTGATTTTTTTTTATTAGTGTTCAAATTTTTCTTCTTTTGAATTTCTTAATCCAAAAGCAAGATTCTCATTTGAATAATTAGAAAATAAGTTAACTTTTAAAATTAATTACTAATTACTAATAAATTTCTTTATTTGCAGGGAGAATGGTTTACATTAGTATAGGAGTATTTAGTATAGTGATTCTAGTTTTAGTAATTGGATTATCAGTAGGATTAAGAGCAACTCCATTCAAAGGAAGCGATGTCCTGAATTTTGCGCCGTTAGTAGACGGGTAAAGAATTTTTAAAATTATTGATTGAATAATTTAATTACAATAGCAATTTTTAATCGATATTATTTAGCGGTCATTTTATATAAATAAAAAAAAATGTTATCATGCACTTGTGCAAATTTATTTCATTGATCTTTAAGGATTTCCAATCAAGAATAAAGAAAATTATCAGATATTATTTTATCGTTATTTAAGTCAATCAAATATTTGGTGTCTGCTGATTTCTGTACTGTAAAATTATGAAACAATTTTCTTTTGATCGATGCTTACATTAAGATGTTAAAAAATTATAAAACAAATAACAAATAAGAAATAATTTACATTAGAAGGAAATTTTTTATTAGCTGATTAAAAAAACAAAAAATTGGAATTTTTAAAAGAGATTCAAATTTAAAAAAATCAAAAAGATTATTTAAAAATATTTTTTCAACAATAGATGTTGAAAATTAATTGAATATTAAATTTCAGACACAATGATTTACCCTGGAATCTTTACGACAAGTTAGCTAATAATTTAAGCGCTTTAAATTTTGATACCGATCTTTCAAATGATCCTTTTATGGGTGTAAAATCTTGTAATACTTGTCACACTGATCTTCCTCGCTTAACTGCTGGTAAACTTGGTGGTCAAGTAAGTACTTTTGAAGAAAATAATTTTTAAGAATTTCATAATTTTAAATTAAGATGAAAAATTTACTTATTTTTTAGTTTAAGAATTTTTTTACTCAAATCAAGAAGATGAAATTCTTAAAAATTATTTACTTGCTTAAAATAAATTTTTTTTCTGTGTAATTTTTTTATTAAATTACATTATTAATGCTTCCTTAAATAATATTTATGACTAAAAATTTTTAATAAAGTTTTGGGTAGCTTACACGCCTTGCAAGTCACAGTATAAAGACGCAATTCAATTGACATTACGCCAAATCGATATGATAAAGAGGCTAGTCAATAAATATCCGTCTAAATTAGAATTTGTGACAAATTCATACGATATTGAAAGAGTCTGGAAGAATAATAAAATAGCGTCGATGATTGGAATTGAAAGTGGACATGCTATAGATTCAAGTCTTGCTGTACTTAGACTTTACCATGAACTTGGAGTTCGTTATATCACGCTAACACACAATTGCAATACTCCTTGGTCAGTATTTTTTAAATATATTTTTGGATAAATTTATTTTTAAATGTATTTTTGGATAAATTTATTTTTCAGGGCTGACGCATCAATTGTCAATGACTCTTCGGTTTTTAATTTAACATTGTTTGGAAAAGTATGTATTTTTAAATGTATCTTTAAAAATATTATTAATTGACAAGATAGCAAAGTCAGTTCTTAATTATTAACATTTTTTAAGATATAAGCTCATCCCGATGTTACCGATGTTACACTCATCAAGAGCTTTCATTTGAGTACCCACATGCATTTTTATATATTTTTCATATATACATATATATTATATATATATAAATATATAAATATATAAAATATATGAAAAATTGATGTGGGTACTCAAATGGAAGGCCTCGATGAGTGTAACATCGGGGTGAGCTTAAATCTTTAAAAATGTCAATAATTCATAAGATATTTGTTAAAATGCCCTGTACTTTCTTAACTATTGACATTTTTAAAGATATAAGCTCATCCCGATGTTACATTCATCAAGAGCTTTCATTTGAGCACCCACATGCATTTTCATATATACATATACTAGCTGTTACCCGCCCGCTCCGCTGGGCACTATAGAATTGAATTTTGAGATCTAGACTTGAAATTCAATTGAAGTATTGTTTTGACTTGCACAGATTCCAAATTCTATCGGATTGGCCTGTACCTTTTATCCATGTCATCATTCTAGCGAATATCCATTGTAACTTACAATGTGCAATCACTATAACATTCCCGTGGCTTTCTCCAAAAATAAATAATAATTTTGGATTTACGATTTCAAGATTTGATTTTACGAAATCTCTTAAAATGAGTAGCCAAATTTCTTTTCCCCATCTCAAGTGTTTAGAAAATGTATTCATTTTAATCTATTACATTCCCGCGATCCCGTAATAAGAACAATTCATCGGTTATATATGATCAGCAATAATAAAATGTATGCAAAATACTCAGTCCGTTGACTATATAGCTACATGTAAAGTTGAATTTTAGAAATTTTACAATGACTTTCTCGCCGCTGCCAAAGAGACGATTGTTGTAAGAAAATATAATTATCAATAAAAAAGGAAAATATTTTAATCCGTTGACCTTGGAGGCCATCCCTGTAATTACCTGTTTCTCTTGAGATTCTATGAAATTTTATATCTGTAGAAAATATATTTGAAGAATATGAATTTTTTGACAACTATCACTCCCGCACTCCTATGTGAGAGAGAAATTTCGTAAGATCCTATTCGAGATGATTTTTACATTATAAATAAAATATTCCAACAAAACTTCGAGCCCATGGAAACTATTGTTTTGAAAAGAGAGATTTTCATTGTTAACGCCTCCGCAGTCCCTTTTGGGGTTGGAATTTGATAAAATTCATTCTTAGCTGAACTTGATATACATGAAGACTCCCACCAAATTTGAAGTCTGTCGAAGTTACAGTTTGGAAATTAAAATTTTAGATTTTAACACCCACCCCCGCAATTTCCATCGGAAGTAAACTTTACTGAAATTCATTTTGAGATGATCTTTACAGGAGAAATAAAAGATTTCTACCAAATTTCGAGTTTTCAGAAGCTATATTTTGGAAATGAACATTTTTTATTGTCAACACCCACTCCCGCGATCCTTATTGGAGGTGATTCGTTGTAAAATCCGTTTTTAGATCATTTCTATATCACACATAGAATATTTCTACTAAATTTGAAGTCTATAGGAGCTATAGCTTGGAAATTAAAAATTTTAATTGTTAATACCCATCCCCGCAAAACCCTGTAAGGTAAGCTATCGTAAAATTCGTTCCTATATTATTTCTACATCTCTTACAGAAAATTCCCACCCAATTTGGAGTCTATTGGAGCTATAGTTTGAAAACGGGAATTATTTATTATTAACGCCCCCGCAATCCTCTTTGGGGTAGGATATCATAAAATTCGTTTATAAATTATTTTTACATCACGTACAGAAATTTCATATAAAATTCCGAATCTGTAGGAGCTATAGCTTGAAAATTAAAAATTGTCATTATTAATACCCACCCCCGCAACCCCTTATGGGGGTGAGATATCGTAAAATTCGTTCATAGATTATTTCTACATCTCTTACAAAAGATTCCTACCAAATTTGGAGTCGATAGAAGGTATAGTTTAAAAATGGGAATTTTTCATTGTTAACGCCCCCGCAAACCCCTTTGGGGGAGGAATTTCCTAAAATCCGTTCTTAGCTGACCTCTACATGGTAAAAGTAATATCCCTGCCAAAAATTTCAAGTCTCTAGGTCTTATAGTTCCAGAGATATCGTAATGAGAGACTATCTATCTATATCTATAGAAAGTCTCCTATATATATATATAGATTAGATATACAAGTACAATATTATTTCAAATTATATTCTCAGGTCTTAAAATATATGAAAAATTGATGTAGGTACTCAAATGAAAGGTCTCGATGAGCGTAACATCGGGATGAGCTTATATCTTTAAAAATGTCAATAGTTCACAAGATACAAGGTCATTTCTTAAATATGTATCTGGAGATAGAGCATTATTCTATTTGTTATAAATTTTAAGAACAAAAATTGCCTGTTAAATTAAAAAGAAAAACACATAATAATTATTTTTTTCAGGAAGTTGTTAAAGAAATGAATAGACTAGGAATAATGGTCGATTTATCCCACGTTTCGCACCATGTAATGCGACATGTTTTGAGTATAACACGTGCCCCTATTATTTTTTCACACTCATCAGCGTTCAAAATCTGTAATCATTATCGGAACGTACCGGATGATGTTCTTCACTCAGTTGTAAGTTTAAAAAATTTCAATTAAAAATAACTTTTAAATAAATAAATTTATAATAATAATTCACTAAATTTATAATTGATAATTCACTTTAAATACAGAAAAAAAATAACGGAGTTGTAATGGTGAATTTTTACAATTTGTTTGTCAATTGCAATCGATCTAGAGATACAACAATTGAAGATGTCGTCGGTAATTAATAAATAAAATAATTAAAAAAATTTTAATGCTTCTTAAATATCTGTTTAATTTTTTTAGCGCATATTAATTACATAAGAAATTTAATTGGACCCGATCACGTCGGTATCGGCAGCGATTATGATGGAGTCGATGAGTAATTAAATAACTTTTAATTATTTATTATAAAATTAATTACTCATTAAAATTTTATTTAAGGACTCCAAAAGATTTAGAAGATGTGTCAAAGTATCCAAAATTATTTGACCGACTTTACGAGTCCAGAGAAGGCGAGCCGACTTGGACGCGCGCTGATTTAGAAAAACTTGCAGGAAGAAATTTAATCCGCGTTTTTGAAGATGTTGAAAAAGTTCGTGATTCTTTAAAGTCTGAACTAGCAAGTGATATGACTATCGACGGACATGATCTGGAAATAGCCATGAAAAATGAAGGACTTACTCCTGGAGCCTGTCAAACTGCCAATGAGTATGTGCTTTTCTATTACATAAAAATAATCCTTTTTTTCCTCATTAAAATTAATTTTTTTTTTTTCAGATGGAAAGGAATTAATTAATTTTTTACTATGTATTTAGTATAATTATCATTGAAAAATATAAATAAAAATTAATTAGAATTTTCATTTATTATTTCAAAAAATTATTCACTTTTTATAAAATATACGTTTGATACTTTACTAATGTCAAAAAGGTGTAAAAAATATTTTTTTTTGTTCTAATTAACTTAAGAATGTTAAAAATGTAAAAATTTACCAAAAAAAATGATAACTAAATTTTTTTTGAGACGTGCAGTAGTAGCCTATCAGATCCGGCCCTTGCTTACCAAAGCATTGGACTGGGTTCGAGCCCGGCGTACACTAATGAATATTTTTAATATTCAAGTGTATTATTACTTTAAATAAATAAAAACAAAACAAAAATTTTTTTTTAAGTAAAAAAAATTCTTAAAATTAAATAGAAGTAGAAGAAAAAAATTTTATTTTTTAACTTTTAGCTCTAAAAACTAAATGTTTCAAAATTCTAGCTTTAAAAATTGAAAAAAAAATTAATTTGGAAAAATCTAATTGAATTTGATGATTATTCAAATTTAAAAAAAAAAAATATTAATTTTCATACTCAAAAATTAAAAATATAAAAAAATTTTTTATGTCCTTTCGGCTGAAATTTTTTAAAGCCAGTAGCGCGTAATTAAAAAAAAATTATCATTTTTCATACAGATTTGCACACTTCTTAATTAATTTAAGAAAGAAAAAATTTTTCCATACCTTTTTGGCATTAATAAAGCTATATATTTAAATAAGACACACATTTTTACAATATATGTCTTCTCTATATCAGATAAAAAGAATAGACGTCATATATACAAATTTAGTCATTAATATAAAATTTGTAATTATTATTTTAATAATTTTCTTCAACATCAATACATAATTTGAATTAGTTGACGTATGTACTTATAAAATTATTATATCCTTATTAGCATATTTGTCTGGAGGGGGTGTAAGTATATAAGCAAAGAAGATGATTTTTAAGTTTTACAGTTTAAAAAGGAGTGTAATATTTTATTGAAAATAATCAATTAAAATTTTTCCCAGTAATTTTTTGCTCTTTCAAGTGAAATTAAAAGTGTTGAAATAAATATGAATATTTTAAATCGATTATTAATCATAAATATTTTAATTATCTCCATAACTGCCGAAGGAATCGATGAAATTAGCGAAAAATTAAGAATAAAAATTTATACTGGGTAATTATTAAGTTTTTGCTAGCAATTATTATCAGAGCAAATTTTTTATTTCTAATTGGCAATTTTAATTTAATAACTTAATTTTAATTTACCTTGGTAATAAATTATATAGAAATTCAATCAAATCAGCCAAGATCGTTAATTTCCGAATGAATAGGCCAGATTTAATTTATCAGTATATTGATAATGCTAAATCATTAGTACTTTATGCTTTCGGATTCACCGAGAAGCCGGATGACGAAAGTGTCCGTACTATAGTTGATGGTAAATCCACTGAATTAATAATTAATTTTATTTAAGTTATTGATTTTGGTGTATTAATTATTGTAATTCTTTAGCTTACTTAAATCGCGGAACAGTTAACATGTTAGTATTGGACTGGAGTAAGTTGTCTTACGAAGAATATTTCAGTTTGATACCAAAAGTCAGAGTGATAGCAAAAATAACAGCAAAAACAATTGATAGGCTCTTCGAGCTGGGATTAAATTTGGATACTTTTCATATTGTTGGTCATTCTATGGGAGCTCCATTGGCTGGAGCTATCGGTGAATTTTCAGAGTATGATCTACCTCGCATTACAGGTAATAATTATCATCACTTTGGTAATTTGATAAGTTGAAAAATTTCCAAGTTTTATAGGTAGATTTGTTTAGAAATCTAGATTTTTTCATAATACGTTTTATTTTGACGAGTTCTGCCAGTAGGATTACGAAATTTTGTAGAGTTATTTTATGAATCAATTCCAGGTTCGAATTCGAAGATGAACACAATCGGTCGGTTAGTTTATGAGTTTTGGGCGTTAGAATATTTTTTTTTCATTGCCAAAAAATTTTTAATTTTTAGAAATAATTTTGACTAGCAACCTTGCAGTCACTATGTGACTGCCGTGACTTGTGAACTATAAATAAATAAAATTTTGCTTTATTAAATAATGACTTTTGTTAAATTCATTTGTACTTTTGTAATCATTGACGTTTTTAAAGACTTAAGCTCATCTCAATGTTACACTGATCAAAAGCTTTCATTTGAGTACCCACATGCATTTTTTATATATTTTTCATATAAACATATATATAATATATATATAAATATATGAAAAATTGATGTGGGTACTCAAATTGAAGGTCTCGATGAGTGTGACATCGGGATGAGCTTATATCTTTAGAAATGTCAATATTTTACAAGATACAAGGTAATTTCTTAATTATTGATTTTTTTAAAGATGCAAGCTCATCCTGATGTTACATTCATCAACAGCTTTTATTTGAGTACCCACATGCATTTTGATATATTTTTCATATATACATATATATAATATATATAAATATATGAAAAATTGATGTGGGTACTCAAATAAAAGGTCTCGATAAGTGTAACATCGGGATGAGCTTATTTCTTTAAAAATGTCAATAGTTCACGAAATCCAAGGTCATTTCTTAGTTATGTATCTAAAGATAGAGCATTTTTGAATGCAGTCGAAATACTTATCACCATAAATTGACTATTGGTGAGAAAAATATGAAACCATGAAAAGATACAACCCCAGGTGAAGACCTTTCTAATGATACCAAATTTAACTATAAAAACCCATTTCGTCATATAAATTCAATAGTCACAAAATTTTGCTTATTCTCTTTATAATATAGATGATTTCTTTTAATTAATTCTGTAATTTAAAAAATTTTTTTCATTCTTCAATGAATGTATTCGGGCCGTTTTTTCATTTTTCAGCCGTAAAAGATTAAATTTATGTAAAAGTATACATAATTATTTATTTATTTATTTATTATTTCATTTCAATGCCAAGACAGTATAGCCAGATGGCAAAAGTATACAAAAAGAGTTATAATAAAGTACACGTAAGTCTAATGAAGATATAAAGTTTAGAAAATATTAGATATAAAAATTGATTATTTTTTATGAAATATTATTTTCTTAATTTGGAATACAAATTTGACAAATAAAACAAAGAAAATAAATTTGAGGATGAAAAAATTGAGTATTAAAAATTTTAAAAAAATTTAACAGTTTAACTCAGTGATACAAAAAATACAAATTATAGAAGATGATAATCTGAGATGATCTAGAACAATAAACTTATGTAAACAGAAATGTGAAAAAGAATATAAACGGTTTGAAAATTAGGATTTATTTTCTTCTTTAAAAGTTAGAAATTAAGGTTCATTTTCTCGTTCACGTTTCATGAAGAATTCAAAAGTACTGATTTTAAAAGAATTTAAGCTAAGTGAATTATCTTCAATTTAAAATATTATTTGTCGAGTTTTAATATTTTTTTCAATTTATTCAGTCGTTCGGAAAAAAAGCAAATTTATTTTTAGCTTTTTATCCCCTGATAAAAAAAAGTATTGGGACAAAGGAAAAAGTATTGAAAAGTATTGGATTGACTGAAAAACCAATACTTTTCAATATTTTTTTCTTTGTCTCAATACTTTTTTTTATCAGGGTCGTCAAATAAATTTCATACATATTACAAATTCTATTTTTTTTTTAGATTTCTTTTTCAAAATTTATCCCTGAAATCTACTGTCGGGTGTAGCTAAATGGCTTTTTATCCAATATTATTATTTTTCTAAAGTATACACAACATTTGAGTTATAAAATAAATTACAAGCTCGACATAATTCTTTCTAGGATTGGATCCTGCAGGCCCCGGCTACGATGAATCAAAAGCTCCTAATCTCAATTACAATAACGCGATATTTGTTGATATTATACACACTGACATGGGCGTTTTTGGCACCACAAAACCTAATGGTACCGTGGATGGTTTCGCCAACGGAGGCAAGAGACCACAACCTGGTTGTCCGCGCCTTCAATCTGTTCAAGATACAGCAGGTAATTGATTATTAAGTTTTATTGATTGATTGGTAAAGTCTAAAATTAAGCATTCAATTTTAATAAATTTTTACTTAGGTATATGTGATCACCGAAAATCCTGGCGAATTTGGGCGGCAAGTATTATAAACCCTAAAGCATTTCGAGCTCTTAAATGTCCATCCTACAGTGATTACTTAGCAGGCAATTGTAAAAACAACGACGCTGTTTATTTCGGATTATTTACGCCAACAAATGCGTTAGTATTTTACAGTATTTTGAGTTTGCAGAGCAAAAAGAGTGATTAAAAAAATATTTTAGCTCGGATTAACTTAGGAATGATGGAAATTTGAAAATTGACTGAAAAAATTACATTTTTTGCTTGTAAAAAAATTCTTTAAGCCAAAGAAGAGTTAAAAAAATTTATTTCTAAGTCAGAAGTTAATTTTTTGAGCTCCGGCTATGAAAATTCAAAATTGAAGAAATTATTGAATTTAATCAGATTTTTAAAAATGAAACTTTTTTTTATCAAATCCCAACATTTTGACATCCCAAATTCTACTTTAGAAAATTTTGAACTCGAAGTCGCGGAAATTTAATAATAATGTTCACTTTATGATTTGATAAGTTGGAAAATAAAATTTTTTCAGTTAATTTTCACATTTATAAAATTCTTCAGTTGATTGAAGCAAAAAAAATTTTTTTACACTGATATAAAGATTTCTTTGCATTTAAAAAATATTTCTTAGCATTTAAGAAATATTATAAATACTAAGAAATCTTTTTAACATGCTAAGAAATCTTTCTACCAATAAGTAATAATATTTTATAAAAATTCATTTTTCAGGCGCGGCTTCTACTATTTTGATACTTCAAAGAGTTTGGGTCTTGTGAACACTGTTAAAACTATTTTGTAGTATTCTAATAACAAAAACTAATAGATCTATTATGTATATTTTTTTCACCTATAACAAAAATGTAAAAGTTTTATTCCTTTATCATTTTCATTCTTTCAAAGGAATTTGTACATATCTCAAGCTTATATACTCATTGATTAATAATTTTTTTGTTGATAATGAATTATGCAATTTTATCCTTGTTATTCCAAAAGTGAAAATCATCCTCTTGGTTTAATTTAAATTGACCAAATATTTACGTAAAATCGATTATAATTATTGACCGTTCGTCTCTTCTATGGAAGGTCAAGTAAAAAATATAAAATAATAAAAACATGCGAGCTTAAAATTTTTTATTGTTTACTTTAATGCTTTTCTGATTTTATTAAAAATTTTTCATGATTAGTCATGCGCTGTTATAAATAATTATAAAAGATATTTAATTATTTTTGTTCTTTATTAAAAACAACATAAAAATTTTGCAAATTTGTCAATTACAACTACACTTCTCAAAAATTAAGGGAGCAAGAAAAAAATCCTAAGAAAGAATTTTTTCAACTTTACTTCAATATTTCTACAATATATGTCTTCTCTATATCAGATAAAAAGAGTTGAAGTCATATGTACAAATTTAGTCATTAATATGATATTTGTATTTAATATGCATTGATTTTTTCAATAATATTCTTCAAAATCAATACATATTTTAAATCAGTTAACGTATGCATTTATGAAAATATTATTGTCTTTTGTGGATATTTGTTTGGAGTGAATGTAAGTATATAAGCAAAGACAATGATTTTTCAGTTGACAGTTTAAAAAGAGCGTAATATTTTATTGATAATAATCAATTAAAATTGTTCACAGTAATTTTTTGCTTTTTCAAGTGAAATTAAAAGTGTTGAAATAAATATGAATATTTTAAATCGATTATTAATCATTAATATTTTAATTATCTCCATAACTGCTGAAGGAATCGATAAAATTAAAAAAAAATTAAGAATAAAAATTTATACTGGGTAATTATTAAGTTTTTGCTAGTAATTATTATCAGAGCAAATTTTTTATTTCTAATTGGCAATTTTAATTTAATAACTTAATTTTAATTTACCTTGGTAATAAATTATATAGAAATTCAACCAAATCAGCCAAGATTGTCAATTGCCGAATGAATAGGCCAGATTTAATTTATCAGTATATTGATAATTCTAAATCATCAGTACTTTATGTTTTCGGATTCACCGAGAAGCCAGCTGACGAAAGTGTCTGTACTATAGTTGATGGTAAATCCACTGAATTAATAATTAATTTTATTTAAGTTATTGATTTTGGTGTATTAATTATTGTAATTCTTTAGCTTACTTAAATCGCGGAACAGTTAACATGTTAGTATTGGACTGGAGTAAGTTGTCTTACGAAGAATATTTCAGTTTGATACCAAAAGTCAGAGTGATAGCAAAAATAACAGCAAAAACAATTGATAGGCTCTTCGAGCTGGGATTAAATTTGGATACTTTTCATATTGTTGGTCATTCTATGGGAGCTCCATTGGCTGGAGCTATCGGTGAATTTTCAGAGTATGATCTACCTCGCATTACAGGTAATAATTATCATTACTTTGGTAATTTGATAAGTTAAAAAATTTCCAAGTTTTATAGGTAGATTTGTTTAGAAATCTAGATATTGTATCTCGATTTAATTTTTTTTAGGATTGGATCCTACAGGCCCCGGCTACAATCCACCATTAACAACTCATCATCTTAATAAAAAAAACGCGAAATTTGTTGATATTCTACACACTGACATAGGCTTTTTTGGCATCACAAAAACTGATGGTACCGCGGATTTTTTCGCCAACGGAGGCAAGAGACCACAACCTGGTTGTCCGCGCCTTCAATCTGTGCAAGATACAGCAGGTAATTGATTATTAAGTTTTATTGACTGATTGGTTAAGTCTAAAATTTAGCATTCAATTTTGATAAATTTTTACTTAGGTATATGTGATCACCGAAAATCCTGGCGAATTTATGCGGAAAGTATTATAAATCCTAAAGCATTTCGAGCTCTTAAATGTCCATCCTACAGTGATTACTTAGCAGGCAATTGTAAAAACAACGACGCTGTTTACTTTGGATTATTTACGCCAACAAATGCGTTAGTATTTTACAGTATTTTGAGTTTGCAGAGCAAAAAGAGTGATTAAAAAAATATTTTAGCTCGGATTAACTTAGGAATGATGGAAATTTGAAAATTGACTGAAAAAATTACATTTTTTGCTTGTAAAAAAATTCTTTAAGCCAAAGAAGAGTTAAAAAAATTTATTTCTAAGTCAGAAGTTAATTTTTTGAGCTCCGGCTATGAAAATTCAAAATTGAAGAAATTATTGAATTTAATCAGATTTTTAAAAATGAAACTTTTTTTTATCAAATCCCAACATTTTGACATCCCAAATTCTACTTTAGAAAATTTTGAACTCGAAGTCGCGGAAATTTAATAATAATGTTCACTTTATGATTTGATAAGTGAGAAAATAAAATTTTTTCAGTTAATTTTCACATTTATAAAATTCTTCAGTTGATTGAAGCAAAAAAAATTTTTTTACACTGATATAAAGATTTCTTTGTATTTAAAAAATATTTCTTAGCATTTAGCAACATTAACATGCTAAGAAATCTTTCTACCAATAAGTAATAATATTTTATAAAAATTCATTTTTCAGGCGCGGCTTCTACTATTTTGATACTTCAAAGAGTTTGGGTCTTGTGAACACTGTTAAAGCTATTTTGTAGTATTCTAATAACAAAAACTAAAAGATCTATTATGTATATTTTTCTCATCTATAATAAATATTTAAAAATTTTATTCCTTTATCATTTTCATTCTTTCAAAGGAATTTGTACATATCTCAAGTTTACTCATTGATTAATAATTCTTTTGTTGATATGAATCATGCAATTTTATCCTTGTTATTCCAAAAGTGAAAATCATCTTCTTGGTTTAATTTAAATTGATCAAATATTTACGTAAAAATCGATTATAATTATTTACCATTCGTCTCTTCTACGGATGGTCAAGTAAAAAATATAAAATAATAAAAACATGCGAGCTTGAAATTTTTTATTGTTTACTTTAATGCTTCTTCGACTTCATTTAAAATTTTTCATGATTAGTCATGCGCTGTTATAAATAATGAGCATATCAATAAGATATTTAATTATTTTTATTCTTAATTAATAACAACATAAAAATTTTGTAAATTTGTCAAAACTACACTTCTCACAAAAATTAAGGGAGCAAGAAAAAATAAGAATTCTTGAGGGTTTTTCAACCGTATTTTTTATCCCAGTCGATTGAATTTTTGAAAAAATTTAAGGAGCAAGAGTTTTGCTTCAAAAAGGTCATAATTTTTATTAACATGAAAAAAAAAATAGCAATTTATTTATTTTTGATCTTTTACATCGGCAAGAGTGTAAGTGTAATTTATTGTTTATCAATAAATTACTGAAGACTATATTTAAATAAATTGAAATTATTTTAGGAATGGCAGCTACTATACTTTGATGCGACGAAGATCAGAATTCGGAGATATATCTAGATTATAATTTATTTATTTATTAAATTTTTATGCTAAGGCTTAGCCAAATGGCAATAATACAAAATTTGGATATAATTGATGAGTAATAACTAAATTTAGTGATTTATTTAGTTATAAAATTCATACAAATTATATATCCATATATTAGTCAACTTGAATTATTTCAAATTAAATTTTTTAATGAAAAAATTAAAATTATGAACAAAATTTAAAAAAAAAAATTTTTTTGTTAGCACACGGAAAAAAAAACAGGAATAATTACAGTATAAAATGTAAAATCGGTCCCGTCGTAATCAAAACTAAAAAAATTACAGTTTAAAATAACATTTTTCTAAATTCAATTTTTTAATTTAACTTTCAGAGCCTTCAATGTAAATATTACATTCTACAATGTAATTCTTATAAAATCTGTAATAATTATACAGATTTGCGCACAACGTTGCATTGTATACTGTAATTTTTCAAGTTTTTTTTTCCGTGCATGAAAAAATTCAATTTAAATAAAAATTTTTTTTCTTCAATATTAAAAATAAAAAAAAAAAAAAAATTACACGAATTGGTGTAAAAAAATTTATAACGCTGTATTAAAAGTATACAGATTAAAAATTGACACCATACAAATTTGATACCGTAATTTTACACTGTGTAGTGTTTTCAGGGTGAATTTTTAAACAAACATTTTTTGCAGTGTATATGCTATTCGTTAAATTTAAATTCGTCAAACATATGAAGAAAAAGAATTTTATTTAATAGGTCAAGGAAAAACTCAATAATTCCAATATTTCCATACTGATTATTACACTGTGCTTCATTTCAATCGTTTTCAAAAGATTCATTAGAAATCAATATTCACTCTTGACTGAATTGTTATATATTTTGTTTAATTATTTATTTCATTCGCCATCGATGTAATTAGTTTATTATTAATAAGTGACTAAAGGTATATATAAGAAAATAATGATTCCGTTTTTTAAAAATACGAACCAAGGTGATTATTTCTTCCTGTTCGGTGATTAAAATTTTTTTAGAGTGATTTTTTCGTCTTCGAGTGAAACTTATTAAGTGTTTATTTAGATAAATATGGATATTTCACGCATGCTCCTAATCATTAAATTTTTAATTAATACTTCGATTTCACAAAATAAGCTGACGAGATTAATTTTTGGTTAGTACTCTTCTTAAATTTCTACCGTTATTTAATAATAATTAGAACAATAACTACTTTTGTATTCTTATTCAGATTTTAGTAACGGTCCTGAAGTAAACAATCTAATAACATTAAAAAAAAATACGGCAGAAGAAAATTATAATCTAACAACGATAAAAATACAAATCTTTACTGGGTAATTATCTTTATATTATTTTATTATACATATATATTTATAAATAATGATGTTTTTAACGATATAAGCTCATCCCTATGATTCACTCATCGAGACCTTTCATTTGTGAGTACCCACATCAATTTTTCATATATTTTATATATTTATATATCTCACAAATACCATATATATCAAATATATAAAAAATGCCATGTGGGTACTCAAATGAAAGGTCTCGATGAGTGTAACACCAGGATGAGTTTATATCTTAAAAAATGTCAATAATTAAGAAATGACATTATATCTTGTGAACTATTGACATTTTTAAAGATATAAGCTCATCTCGATGATACACTCATTTAGAGCTTTCATTTGAGTACCCACATCAATTTTTCATATATTTCATATATTTATATATTTCACAAATACCATATATATCAAATATATAAAAAATGCCATGTGGGTACTCAAATGAAAGGTCTCGATGAGTGTTACATCGGGATGAGCTTATATCGTTAAAAACATCATTAGTTAACAAAATGCAACAGTAATTTCTTAAGTACTAATATTTCCGTAAATATAAGTCCATTCTGATATTATAAATGTAGAAATTTATTGAAAAAATGAAAAATAAAATTTTTTCAATATACGCTTTTTTTGTACTGAGAAAAAAAAATTTATTTTGTAACTTTTCGCTTTGAAAATTGAAAATTTTTTAATTTCAGAAATTATTGAATTTTTCTTTTAATCATTAAAAATGAAGTTTTTTTTTTCAAATTTTGACATTTTAGCATCTCAAGAATCTATTTTCAATTTTAATAGACGCAAAAGTTTAAAATGTTTACTTTCATAAACGACAAGTTTGAAAATAAAAATAAAATTTATTCAATTATGGACTTTTTGAATTAAGAGTGTTTTTTTTTTCTTAAAGCATAAAGAGCGTACCTCAAGAAAATTTAATTTTCTTTTTTTTTTTTCAATAAATTTTTACATTTTTATTAATCTTAAGTTGTTTTGAGCAAAAGTAAAATTTTTTACACTCTTTTTGCTAAAAAAAATGCGATATTGAAACTTAAAATTAATTATTTTTTGATAATTAATTCGATAGATCTTCATTTGACTCAGCAGAGATAAAAAGTTTTCCTATTTATGAACCAGAGAACATTTATCGGAATGTCGATGCTGCTAAACCGTCAGTAATGTTTCTTCACTCATATAATGAGAGTCCTTTTAATATAACTATCAGAGCTGTTATTGGAGGTGATTTTATGAAATTTATTAATTTATTTTTATAATTGTTAATAATACATCTGATTTATGATTAAAATTTTCAGCTTATTTGGAACGAGGAACAGATAATGTTTTGCTATTAGACTGGACTGACTTGGCCAGCAGGCCTTACTGGCCACTATTACCAAAATTAAAAGACATATCTAGATTTATAGTAAAAACACTCGATAGACTTTTCGAACTGGGATTAAATGTGGATACTTTTCATTTGGTTGGTTTTTCACTGGGAGCTGAAATTGCTGGATTTATTGGAATAAGTTCAAAGTATCTATTGCCTCGTTTTACTGGTGATAAGCCCGAGTTGAAATTTAAGTCGTAGATTCAACGTATTGAACGTTCAAATCGTACATTCGACGTATTGAACGTTGAAAACGTAAGTTCAACGTATTGGACGTTGAAATTGTAACTTGAACGTATTGAACGTTAAAAACGTTAGTTGAACGTATTTAACGTATTGTGAGCGTAAATTGATTTTAAATTTTGCTGGTGCACCATGCATGCAAGTATATTTTACAAATTCATTCCACTGAAGTGAAAATTTTAATTATTAATGAAATTTTAGGTATATTGAAGCTTTATGCTTGAAAATCTAAGTATAAGTCGGTCAATGAGCTCTTCAAATCTTCAAAATATTTTTGAAATGCAAATGAAAATCAATCTAATAGTTTTCAAAGATCTCAAAATATCGAGATTGAATGAGAATTTGGCTCTCAAAAATCAATCTTAATTGAATAACTTCCTTAATTCCAATCAACCGTAATTTTATTAGTTGATTAAATATGCAAGTAGCTAAAAATTAACTCAATCAAATCTTTGGGAAAAGCTTTTAAATAAATTTAGCCTATAGGTTATTTTTTACGAATCATATATTCTTCTTAAAACAGTTGAATCTATATTTTTTACGTTCAATACGTTCAAATTACGATTTCAACGTCCAATACGTTGAACTTACGTTTTCAACGTTCAATACGTCGAATTTACGGTTTAAACGTTCAATACGTTGAATCTACGACTTAAATTTTGACTCGGGAGAATATTTTATTTTGAAAACATGTAATGTTACAGAGGTGATAAGGGAAAAAGTAAATCGAAAAAAGGGGTTCACATCAATTTTTCATATATTTATATATATTATATATACATGTATATATGAAAAATATATGAAAATGCATGTGGGTACTCAAATGAAAGCTTTTGATGAGTATAACATCGGGATGAGCTTATATCTTTAAAAACTTCAATATTAAGAGAGTACAGTGCAATTTAACCAAATTCATTATTAAATAAAGCAAAATTTTATTTATTTATAGATAACAAGTCACGGCAGTCACATAATGACTGCAATGTTGCTATTTTTTATTAATTATTCTCATATTTGTGCCTGTTAATAATCAGTTAATCATATTAATAACATAAAATTAAATTACCTTAAACTTATTATCATTGATTTAAATAAAATTAAATTTTACATTTCGATCCAATTAGTTCTTTGTACTTAATCAAGTAAAATTATGATAAAGATTCTTCAAATTTCTGCAAGGACACTTTATTGAATTAAAAAAAATTTCTTTCAATATTGTAAAGCTAAATAGTTTACAAATTTTTTAAATCAATCTCGAATACTTATTATTATTATTATTATTATTATTATTAGAAAAATTTTTACAGTAATTACTAATTAATGGATGAATGATTGTGAAGAACATTGAGTTATTAAGCAATATTAATTTAATTAAAGGTCATGGTTTAGTTAAAAATTTTGCAATAAAAATAATTATATTTTAAATGGATGAGAATTTCATTATTTTTTATTACAATTGTCAATTAAAAAAAATAAAATCTCTTATGGATTTTTTTAATTGATACATAAAAGAGTAATTTCTTAGCCGTAAAATACTAAAATAAGTAAAAGGTAAACAAACAAATAATAAAAAAAAAAAACCTTGATGATCGTGAGTATTTTTCCAGTACTCTCGTTACGTGCTATTGGTTAAATTTAAATTGATCAAGCATTTTTGCGCAATACCGATTTATTCGTCTCTACTCCGGAAGGTCAGATTAAGAAAGTGGAAGTAGAACACGCGAATTCTAAAATTTGCATTATTATTACTGCGATTTTTTACGAGGATAGTTTCGTTTTCAGTGACGAGCTAGTTACGATTTAATTAAATATTAAATTACATTTTTATTCATAAAAATTTTCATTTTTTAAATTAAAACCGAGATTTAAATTGATCTTAAAAATTTATTTATTCAATTATTCTATTAATTATATAAATTGGATCTTGGCAATGGATTTATTATTATTATTTTAGTATTTCCCTCACCATAAATCGCTTATTTTGTGAAGAGTGGGTATAACTATATAAATAAAGGAAGTAATTCTGTTTATTACAAATTCAAAACAGACACATTAATATTAAAGTATTTATTTAAACTTGTTTTTTTTTTAGTGAAATTTTTTGTTAAAAAAAAAAAAAAAAATAGAAAGTGTTTAAAAATATGTATATTTTACATACATTTTTTGTTATTAAAATTTTATTTCATTTTACAGTTACGCAAAATCTATTATCAAGATCAATATTCGGTGAGTTAATTTTATTATTGTTAATATTATTATTATTTATTTCCTTGTTTATTTTTTACAGATATTTTCACAAATAATAATGTAGACTCTCAATTACAAATTATAAAAGAAGAAAACGATAAAATAACTGCGGGAATAAAAATAAAAATTTATACTGGATATAATCTAGAGTTAGCTACGACTACCGATATTCCAATTAACGAGCCAGAAATAATTTATCATTATATTGATAATACTAAACCATTGGTAATGTATATTCATGGATACCGCGAGCATCCGGCTAACGAGAGTATTCGAACTGTAATTGGAGGTAAATTTACAAATTTATTAATAATTTTTATTTATATTATTAAGAGAATAAGTAAAATTTATGATGATAAGTATTTAGGCTGCAATTAGCTGCATTTTTAAAGATATAAGCTCATCTTGACATTACACTCGTCGAGACCTTTCATTTGAGTACCCACATCAATTTTTTATATATTTCATATATTTACATATTTATATATATGAAAAATATATCAAAATACATGTGGGTACTCAAATAAAAGCTCTTGATGAGTGTAACATCAGAATGAGCTTATATCTTTACAAATGTCAATAGTTAAGAAAGTACAGAGCATTTTAACAAATATCTTGTGAACTATTGACATTTTTTAAGATATAAGCTCATCCCGATGTTATACTCATCAAGACCTTTCATTTGAGTACCCACATCAAGTTTTCATATATTTTATATATTTATATAT